ACTTTATTGTAAATAGTAATTATCTTTACATTATAGGTCCAATAGCGTGTTCGTATATTGGTAGAGTATTTTTAAGTTGTGAAATTTTTAGAGTAGGTTTTATAAGATCATACCTCTTTGATATTGTGATTATTGCATATATCAATAGTTTAAATTTTTATTTTATTTGTAAAGAGCCTTGATGGATATGCTTCGATATTAGCAGCTTGTTCTGAATAAGCCATGCGTATTAGCTTTAAAGTGTAATATTTTTTCTTTATTGTGTTATATGTATGTTTGCTTGGTTTACTTACCATTCTTTTATTTCTTTAATAAGTTGTATCTTTGTGTTGGTATATATTGTTAACACAATTTACGATAATATGCATATTTGTTTCTAATTTATTTATTTTAAAAAGGTTAGGAGTTACCTCTTTTTTCTCTGCAATGAATTCTTTTGGTGTGCATCCAATAACATTTTCTATCGTTTAAAATAATGTTACTTTGACTCTATCTTTGTTATTTTTCATAATGATCTGAACTAAATAACTATATTTTTCATTATCAAATTGGCTTAGATTATCATGTTAATATTTAATCTTAATATGCTTATTTCATGAAGAAGGGATATTACTCAACCATGGTACTACTTTATTAGTAATTCTGTGATATTTATCATTTGGACATTCTAATTAACATCTCTATCCAATCTTCTTGTTGTAGCCCTTGCAAGTTAGAACCACTGCTCAACTTTATTATAAATAATAGTTATCTTTACATTATAGGTCCAATAGCGTGTCCGTATATTGGTAGAGTATTTTTAAGTTGTGAAAATTTTAGAGTAGGTCTTATAAGATCATACCTCTTTGATATTGTGATTATTGCATATATCAATAGTTTTAATTTTTATTGTATTTATAAAGAGTCTTGATGAATATGCTTCAATATTAGCAACATGTTCTGAATAAGCCATGCGTATTAGCTTTAGAGTGTAATATTTTTTTCTTTATTGTGTTATATGTATGCTTGTTTGGTTTACTTACCATTCTTTTATTTATTCAATAAGTTGTATCTTTGTGTTGGTATATATTGTTAACACAATTTACGATAACATGCATATTTGTTTCTAATTTATTTTTTTTAAAAGGTCAGGAGTTACCTCTTTTTTCTATGCATTGAATTCTTTTGGTGTGCATCTAATAAGAATTTCAATCGCGTTAAATAATGTTATTTTTACTCTATCTGTGTCATTTTCCACAATGATCTAAACTAAATAATTGTATTTTTCATTATCAAATTGGCTTAGATTATCATGTTAATATTTAATCTTAATATGCTTATTTCATGAAGAAGGGATATTACTCAACCATGGTACTACTTTATTAGTAATTCTGTGATATTTATCATTTGGACATTCTAATTAACATCTCTATCCAATCTTCTTGTTGTAGCCCTTGCAAGTTAGAACCACTGCTCAACTTTATTATAAATAATAGTTATCTTTACATTATAGGTCCAATAGCGTGTCCGTATATTGGTAGAGTATTTTTAAGTTGTGAAAATTTTAGAGTAGGTCTTATAAGATCATACCTCTTTGATATTGTGATTATTGCATATATCAATAGTTTAAATTTTTATTGTATTTGTAAAGAGCCTTGATGGATATAATATTGTGATTATTGCATATATCAATAGTTTAAATTTTTATTGTATTTGTAAAGAGCCTTGATGGATATATTCAGTATTAGTAGTTTGTTTTGAATAAGCCATGCGTATTAGCTTTAAAGTATAATATTTTTTTTATTGTGTTATATGTATGTTTGTTTGGTTTACTTACCATTCTTTTATTTCTTCAATAAGTTGTATCTTCGTATTGGTATATATTGTTAACATAATTTACGATAACATGCATATTTTCTATACAATTTTGAGACAGATATAATGTGAATTTTATATTTAGTGATCTTTAATAAAAATTTTAATAGTAAAATATGTTACCTTAATATTTAAAGAACTTAAAATCTAGCAGTGACATTATGTGCTTATCTTTGATCGTGTCTTTAAAAAACTAATCCTTTACTGGTAGTCATATCCTTAAATAAATTTTCTTGCACAGTCATACCACATATAGGAAAAAAATATCAATTTTAATTTTTTACTTACACTATTGTAACTAATTATCATGTATATACATTTTGTCCATTATAGTAATTTCTCTCATCTTATCTAGCTTATTATATTTTGCAATATAGTTGATCAATGACTTCACTTTAGTTTCTATTGTAAGATTATTTATATGTAATTTTATATTAAATTTATGATTCATTTAGTATTTAGAGAATAAAATATGAAAATTTATAAATACAAACTAATTTTTCTTGTATCTTTCACGATGAATGTTTTTTTTAATTGGGACAAAATTATACCTTTTGTCAAAGTCAGTTCAAGTGATTCATGAATATTTTCGTATTTTGGGTTTATTTATTTCACTTCTCTATTTGAATTAAAAATAGTTTGATTTTTTTAAAGGATATATCTAAACTTCTTGATAGTTTTTTCATGCAAAATTCATTGTATTTTTCACTCTAGAAATATTATCAACATCAGAGATGGATGTTTATACATTATAATCAATTAATGCTAACTTATTATACATTATAATCAATTAATGCCAAAATTCATTGTTTTTTTTAATTGGGACAAAATTATACCTTTTGTCAAAGTCAGTTCAAGTGATTCATGAATATTTTCGTATTTTGGGTTTATTTATTTCACTTCTCTATTTGAATTAAAAATAGTTTGATTTTTTTAAAGGATATATCTAAACTTCTTGATAGTTTTTTCATGCAAAATTCATTGTATTTTTCACTCTATAAATATTATCAACATCAGAGATGGATGTTTATACATTATAATCAATTAATGCTAACTTATTATATTATAGTCTTTTGTTAATTTTATGCAATTTAGTCTTTTATCAATTAGTGTTATTACTAAAATTATATGTAGTTCCTTAAATTTATACGGTAACGTTAATTTTTAATCTATCATATATTTTTTAAATTTTTATTCCTTAACTGGATAGTTTTAATCTATCGTAATTGTTATTTTTTACCAACTTTAACTTAGACTACTTTTAGATGGTGAAAACAGATGATAAACTTTAAATTGAAACTTAAATTTATATATCTTAATGAAATGATATCAAACATTTACTTTTCATTGCCAAATTTCAGTCTTTGTGATTTTAAACTTTTGAGGACGTGTTTTGTAATTTTTTGAACTTTAATATTATTTTTTTAAAATTTTAAATTTTATGTTGGGTGCTTGTAATTTTTATGTTTTATGAGTTGGTGGTAAGTTTTCAAATGTTAAGATGCGGTTTTCAACTCTAAAATTTTGAGCGTATTTTTTACAATTACTAAAAGTTTGAGTTGTTTTTTTTGATAAATTCAAAATTTCAGCGATCTGCTGATAATTTTTAGATTTGATGTCTACTGGTTATAAAATTTAAAATTTTAGGATTTTTTTGATTTTTAAATTTTGAGGGAGTTTTTGTAGTTTATGTAACTTTGAGGTTATTTTTACAAATTTTAAGTTTTTAAGAACCTAGTAGTAATCCTTAAAATCTATCTATGTTGTTTGCAAGTTTTGAAATCACTGAATTTAGGGTGTTTTTTTTTCTAATTTGAACTTTTAAGGTTGTTTCTACAATTTTAGAAATATTGAGGGTGTAATTGTAATTTTTAAATTCATCGTGGGCTATTTTTAATTTTTAAATTTAATGTTTGTTGTTTTAAGTTTTGAAAAGTCAATGTATTTTGGGTAATTCTGAACTTTTAAAGATATTTTGTGTAATTTTTGAGTTAAATCTTAATCTTATTTTTTAAAATTACTGAGCTATAGGTAATTCATGCGGGATTAAAATAGACATAATTAGTATTTACATAGATTAAGATTTAAATAAAAAATTTAAAATAATATCTCATGTAGTTTGTTAATCTTTTTTTTTTAAATTGTTGAGCTATAAATAGTTTCTGTGGGATTAGATAAGATATAATTAGAATTAGAATAGATTACATTTAAATATAATATTTAAATTAGAAAAGATTAATATTAATCATAAAAAGATTTTTCTGAACTCGTGATTTTAGAGGGAGTATAAGTATGATTTACTTTCTTTTTATATAGTCGGAACTCCACCGATTTTGAGACTCATCCATATTAATAATAACGTCTCTCCTTATTTACTCCTAATCCTACCAAAAACCCCATCGATTCACGCAATAAATAAACCGTATCGATCCGTATCAAATCAGTTACGAACCGACCTCCGCCCAATCATCAGGCCCTCTTATATATTCCCCCATCCCTTTCCTCCGACTAAAATCTCGCTCAAAAACTCTGCGATGGATTCGATCGAGAACTACGATCTGATCCGCGATCTCGCCGACGGCAACGGAGGGAGGGTGACCCGCCTGAATGGCGGTTCAGCCACCGCGGCGAGGGCTCTGGTCGCGTGAAGTTTCATCCCGCGGCGACCGCGGGTCGACCCAGCCACGTACCTCGCGCAGATCGTGCAACGACCGCTCGCCTCCGCCACCAACGTCATCCTGCTGCGCCGCGCGCTTCTTTGACCCCGACGACCACTGCGCTCGCCAATGGAGCTTCGCTTCGGCGGCGAGCTCCTCGACTCCTCTCCGCACTCCCCCCTCCGCGAGCCCGGCCGCCCGCTTCCTCTTCCACCAGCTCATACGGCCGGCGTCTCCTACCCCGTCCATCCATGTACGTCGTGCCACCGACCTCAGCCCCGAGAACATCCATCGACGGCCCGAACCCTAAGTCCCCTCAGCTCAAATGTGCGATTGTCGAGCTAGCTCAAGTCCGGGGTCCTGCACTCCAGGCCCCAAGTCGCTGTGGGCGACGCACGGCTCGTACAATCGCGCCGGAGGATTCTTGGGCGGAGGGAGTACGACGGCAAGGCGGCGGATGTCTGGTCTTGCGGGGTTATCCTGTACATAATGGTCGTTGGGGAGTACCCCTTCATTGATTTGGAGGACAGGCAGAATCTGAGGAAGGTCGTGGAGAAGATTCTGGCGGTGGATTACAGTATACCGGACGACTGCCGGGTTTCTCTGCATTGCAGGCAGCTGATCTCGTCGATTCTGGTCAAGGACCCGGAGAAGAGGTTTGGGGTTAGGGAGATTAGGAAGCACCCTTGGTTTGTTAAGGATTTGAGGGAGGAGGTGAGGGGGGATTTGATGGATAAGCGGAGGGACCTGCAGAGCGTTGCGGAGATTAAGAGGATCGTGGAGGAGGCGAGGGTCGCGCCGAAGGGGGCGTTTGATGATGATGATGAGGAGGCGGCGGTGAAGGGGACTGAGGAGGAGGCGGAGGAGGTTAGGGATTCTCACTAGGTTTGTTTCTTGTAGCGCATTGTGGCTATAGAATCACACTCGAAATCAATGAGAATTGAAGGGCTCTGTTTTTGGAAGCAGTAATTGATCCAAGTATAGATTTGATATGTCATTCTCTTGGAAGATAGCGAGACATTTTTATACTTTGCTACCATGTACATAGTCTTTATAAGTTCTGAGGCAGACGGAAAAAATATTAAAAGGCTGCCTGTGATGTCACTTACCAGGTTATCTTTTCCTTTCTTGTTGTGATCGTTTCCTTTCATTTTAACTTTTAGTTTCAGAACAATTTTATGTTTGGCACGAGATGAAGTCTGCATGTTCAAACCTGAAAAGCACTGCATACCCTGTTCCTGTGGAAATTATGCGAGGACGTGCTTTTTTTCTTATGTTATTATCGAGTAAGTGATGTTTGGCACAGTCTTTTCAGTCGATGCGTAGTGCTAAATAGAAGGCATAACTATTTTTATCTTATTTTAGCTTTCCCCCCCCCCCCCCCCCCCCCCCCCTCCACTTTGCGATTACATTATCTGAGGTTGCGTTTGTCCCTTGGATTATCAGGATTTTCAAACTGGGGACTTAAAAACCATCCTTTTATGCTTTTAATTGACGGCATTGTTGTGTCCGCACCAAGTAAAAATCTTGCGACTTGCGACTTAATCTTTAACTCTATTATTGCATTGTTGTAGCGTTTCATTAAAGATTGACACAGTCCAGGAAGAGGATCCTTGATCACCTTCATTTGTGAATGCAGTAATGGAATTGTAATGATTAAGACTGATAATAACATCTTATAGCAAGTTTTGAATCTTCTCTTGTCCCTTAATTTTTCAATTCTATGACAGAGTTTCAGGTCTTCAAAGAATTATGTTTTCTTTGTACAAGATCTCTCTCTCTCTCTCCATTCCTCAGGGAAGATGATCTTTATCGTGAGTTTTATTGGATTTTAATGTCTCAATAGCAGTATCCTCCTCTGGAAAAGAATTTCCATTGGTTAAGGATCTATTCAGATTTGTAAATGAAGGTATCAAACCATCTTGAGATCTTTCATCATATTGTTAGATCTTCTAGGGATTAGTCTTATCGTTTGTGATTTCTAATGCAATTTTTTTTTTAGTGTTGCTTCGGTACACCAATAATAGTCTTTTATCTAATAATTATTTATTTTTTATTCAAAGGGTAATAAGGTAATAGCGTATCTTCAGTGCTCTCAAAATTATTTATTGTTTATTTTTTCTCAAAAGAATAATATTGGAGATATTCCTTTCTCAATCCTTCACCCAATTAATCACAAGAACTTGCGTGCTCTCATCTGATTATTCACTTATTCAAAGCCATGATAACAATTCCATTGATCATTGGAGTTCGATGACGGATGAAGTTTCAAAGAAGAATTTTTTTTGAGAAAGTTGGTGAATTTCTCGTATGGCGATGAACAATTATTATCCATGGCGTGTTCGTTGAAGATGAAGCCGAGTGGAGAACTTGGTGGACAAAGCCATGGGAAAACTTAATTGAATTATTAATTCGCCCCACAATTGCATACAATATGCAAATTATTATTAGGACGCTAGCTACCACCAACCATATTCATTTACCCATGAATCCCACAGAAGTAAATTCATGGAATAAATGAGTGGAATGAAAGATTAGTAATAGGATCAATTGAGCAAATGGCAATTGAGTTCTCAAAGATTCCGATAATAACCTTGTATAAAAAAATGGAAGAGAAGAGAAACTGGAGTTTTGTTAGGGTAAAAAGTTGCAATTAAATTGATAGCAAAATCACCAACAAATGGTCTTAAATTTATAGCAAAACCATCTTCTTGAAGGGCCGAGTCCAGAGGAAGGAGGAGGGCTGAGTTAGGTGAAATACGTAACCGCCCTTGACGATACAAATAATTACAAAAAAGGGTGTGGTACTCTATTTTTTGTGGGAACCGAATTAACCGGGCGTGTGAGAGCACAAATTACGGAGATTAATTACAATTTGTGATATCGGTACTCCCAAAATTATTTTCGGAGCATCGAAGCTGTTGGCTTTTTTTTTCACTTTGCATATTATTTTGCTAGTAGATATTTTCAGTTTGGATATTGGTTTTGCAGTTTGATTTTTTTACCAGTTAGCTTGATATATTATCAGCTATATCTGCTATTTTGTATAACAGTGAATGATTTTATAACTGAAGGTTTCACGATGAGAGTATCTATATACACTCTTTGTTTTTATCAATAATCAATTAAAAGCAGAGAAATTTTCTAGATGCAATCATTACTTATCTTTGGTGAACATAAAGATGATATATCTACTGTATTTGTGCTGTCAAATAAAACAATATTAGGTTAACTGAAAATAAATGAGTTATGAAAATCAGGCCTGAACGGGGTGCAGTCGTGATACACTGCCCTAGAAGATAGAGGACCCGCCTGTCGCCCTGGCGTAGTCGATCCTCCCCCCTAGCGGTAAAAGCCCCCGGAAACGGCCGGCCTCTCTACTCGGGCGCGAGTAGCAGAGCTTCTGCTCAGATGAAGATGATTGCCCAAAATAATCCTCAAAATATGTAGCCGAAAATCTTTGAGTACTAAGAGTAGCAGAAGGAGGAAGAGGGAGCTATGAAATTCTTTGTGAATTTCTGTGTGTTTTCCCGAATGAACTCTGCCTCCTTATATAGCCTCATGAACCAGTAACCGATGCTGAATCTCCTCGTCCGTTGGGCGTAAATCACGCTGCCGTTACATAATAAATGCTGCCGTTACATAATAAATGCTGCCGTTACAAAAAAATAAAAGCTGGAGAAGCAAAACCCGAGTGCGGTGCGGCGTGGCGTGGCGCGCGCGTCGTGTCGTGGCGAGGCGAGGCGTGGCGAGGCGAGGCGTGGCGTGCGCGCGCGCGTGTGTGGAGAAAGAGCACAAACACTAGTAGGCCCAAAACATTACTCAAAGCCCATTAGGAAGTGAACCATTATAAACCACTTGAACTTCTCTTCAACTTCCAATGTGGGACTATTCACAATTGCCTTTTCCTTAAGAAAATGCTAACAGTCCCCCCCAAAAGGCAATATTGACAAAACAATTAGTAAAACATATATATATATATATATATAGGTTGGGCAACCTTTTGTATCGTGAATTCGGGAAAGGTAGCTTCCGGCTTTGAACCTTTCCTTAGTGAGTTTGTCGCCACCTGAGGGACATAATGGACTAAGCCTTGAATTAGGGCCCTTGAATCAGGTATTGACAAAAACACACACAATACACTTCATCTATTGAGCAAAGCGGGTTGAGCGTTAAAAGGCCATGCTCACAATAACCGACTCATGAGAGTTTCTAGGGGTTAGTTTAGTCCAGCCCCCCCAACCGCGGCCATCACGATTCCTCTCACGTAGGTAAGTCCTCAAAGGGTACTACAGCTGTTTATTTAATACCCCCCAATAATACATGCGTTGGACTTATTAAGAGTAAAACTCAGCCTAACCAGCTGTATCATAGGAGCATCGTCATCATAGAGAAGGGGTAGTAGCTCACACTACATAATGATATATGAATATATATATGGGTCGATGCTCCACCCGAGTATCACTAGTCCAGCTTGTTTCTACCACATTGAACCGACATTGGGACAACGTCTCCAAATAAGGGTTGGGTTCCCACTGTCAGTGACCTCTTTAATGGACTTAACCCCATCTCCCTCGATGAATCCAGGACTACACTCCTGGATAATCCCTTAGTCAAAGGGTCAGCAATATTTTTCTCAGACTTTACAAAATCCAAGATCACAACTTTGCCTAACAGGCGTTGTACAGACTTATATCTTATTTGAATATGTCTGTTGAGTTTTTTATTTACATGTACTTGCTTTAGAAGCTCTATGGTAGATCTAGAATCAGAATGAATGGAAATTGGAGGAAAAGGTTTAGGGACCAAAGGAAGTTCAGAGATAAGATCTTTTAACCATTCGGCTTCTGAGCAAGTAGTATCAAGTGCAATCAATTCAGATTCCATGGTGCTCCTGGCAATTACTGTTTGCTTACATGATTTCCAGGATACAGCAGCACCACCAAAAAGAAATACATACCCAGATGTTGACTTTACACTGTTGGAATCTGTGACCCAATTGGCGTCACTATACCCTTCAATGGCATCAGGGTATCCAGTGTAAGTTAAGCAATAGTCAACTGTCCCTTTTAAGTATTTAAATACTCTTTCTAAGGCAGACCAATGATCTGGGTTAGGGTTACTGGTATACCGACTCAATCTCCCTACAGCATAAGCTATATCGGGTCTAGTCCGGTTTGATATGTATAAAAGGGATCCAATCATTTGGGAATATTTCAATTGAGAGACAGATTCACCTTCATTTTTCTTCAAGGGTATAGAAGAATCATATGGTGTGGAAACAGATTTAAAGTTATGAAAGTTGAATTTGATCAGCATTTTCTCAATACTGTGAGAAAGACTCAAGGATATTCCTCTAGTGTCTCTAGTGATTTTCATTCCAAGTATCATATCGGCAAGACCTAAGTCTTTCATGTCAAAATTTTTGGAGAGATAATCCTTAACTTTTAAGATTAGTTCAAGAGTAGTTCCAAAGATAAGGATATCATCAACATAGAGACATAGGATAACATAGTCATTGTTTATCACTTTTGAATAAACACATTTGTCGTGTTCATTCACCGTGAATCCATATTGTGCAATGACTTTGTTAAATTTCTGGTGCCATTGTTTAGGAGCTTGTTTAAGACCATACAGAGATTTAACAAGTTTACAGACTTTGTTTTCCTGACCCTTGGTAATGAAGCCTTCAGGTTGGTGCATATAAATTTCTTCATCTAGATCACCATTCAGGAAAGCAGTCTTGACATCCATCTGATGTATGATCAGTTTGTGGATAGCAGCAAAGGCTAAAAGAATTCTGATAGTAGAAATTCGGGCTACAGGAGAATAGGTATCAAAGTAATCAATGCCCTTTTTCTGAGTATAGCCTTTAGCTACTAATC